GGGCCGCGGGCGAGCAGGGATGGGGGAGGGGGCGAAGGAGACAAAGGATGCTCTCCCCTCCCCCCGCGATCTAGCGGCAACGGGGGCGACCTGACCCAGAGGACTTGAGTGACACAGGGCGGAGTTGGGGGGCACTGAGATAACTGGCGTGGGGGCGCGCTGGGCGCTGGGGTGTGTAGCCAGGCCTCGCCCCGGGGATGAGGACGTTTGCCGGGAGCTGTCCCCATGCGTGGTGCTGGCCGCTGCGGGCGGGGAGGGCGGTTGAATGGAGGGGTAGAATCAGGATGGAAAAGAGAAGTCTGACACCCCTTCCCCCCATCACCCACCTTCGCTTCCCACCTCTGTTTTCTGTCCTGACTCACAGGCAGCCCCGACCTCGCCCAAACTGTCCAACCCCCTGTCCCCGGGAAGCAGCCATTCCTGGGTTGGGGCGAGGACTCCTGGGTCCTTCGCAGGCGTTACCACTGGTTAATGGTAACCCTGAAACAGACTCACTCTGCTCCGGCCCTCTGGTTCCTGGCATCCCATTCCCCCGCTAAGGAAACAAGATGGGAGCGGAAGGAGTCTGAGTCCAATTTCCAAAGGGTTTTGAGCATCTCCTGTAAGCAAAGCCCCAAGCTCGGTAGCTGAGAGGGGCTGGATTCCGCAACTGAAAAAGCCTTGTCTGACCCTCGCGATCTCCGCGCCCAGGGCTCTGTAGTCCCTGTCTCTCATTCTGTCCCACACTCCCCTGGTTCTGACAGCTGGGGACTTCCACACTCTCAGATCTAGCCAACTGCCTGTCTGGCAAGTCCAGATGCCAAAATTCTAAGAATTTGTTATTTCAACATTTTAGCGTATCATCCCCAAAATTCTAAGGTCTTTACTGGGCTTATAAAGGGTGGCCCTACATGATCTCCCACCTTATTTATCATCCCTCATCTCCCACCCTTCTTCCCTCAGTTATCCTGCTCCAAGTGCACATTTGTACCTCTCTTTTCCTCAAATATGCCAAACAGTGCCTGCCTCAGGGCCTTTGCACTGAGTTTTTCTGTCCGCCTAGAAGATTCTTCCCTAAATACTTGCTTGGATTCTCCATTCAGACCTCTGCTCAAATGTCATCTTATCAGAGAAGTCTTCTCACCACCCTGTCTGAAGTTGCAACCTTACACGGTCTCTTCCCTTATCAAGCTCTTTTCTCCACACACTTAAAGCCCCAATGTCATTTACTTACTTGTTTATTGTCTGTCTCCACTATAAGCTTTTGAGGGCAGGGGTTTTGTCTGTATTGTTTGCAGTTGTATCCTTGGGGTTAAAACAGTGCCCAGCCCATAGTGGGCTTTCACCAAATGGTTGTTGAAAGAATGAGTGAATTGGCACCTCCTAAAACTCCTAATTTGAAGAGTCTGAATTAGGGTTCCTGGACTTGAACTTCTAAGACTGAGCTTCTGATAGAAACGAGTTAGGCTTGCCCAGCCGGTGTGGCTCAGTGGCTGACCTATGAACCTATGAACCTGGAGGTCACGGTTCTATTGCTGGTCAGGGCACGTGCCTGGACTGCGGGCTTGATCCCCAGTGTGGAGTGCGTAGGAGGCAGCCAATTAATGATTCTCTCTTACTATTAATGTTTCTAACTCTCTCCCTCTTCCTTCCTTTCTGAAATCAATAAAAATGTATTTTATTTTTTTTTTTAGAAAAGAAGTGAGTTGCCCTGACTGGTTTGGCTGAGTGGATAGAGCGTCGGCCTGTGGACTGAAGGGTCCCAGGTTCGATTCCGGTCAAGGGCATGTACCTTGGTTGCAGGCACATCCCCAGTAGGGGGTGTGTAGGAGGCAGCTGATTGATGTTTCTCTCTCATCAATGTTTCTAACTTTCTATCTCTCGCCCTTCCTCTCTGTAAAAAAATCAATAAAATATATTTAAAAAATAAAAAAAGAAATGAGTTAGGCTTTACAGTCTGTGTGCAAATGTTGTAAAGGCCCTGGGACTCAAATATTCTAAGATTCCTTAACTCCGACCATCCAGGCTCCCAGGGCTGGCACACTTCCGTGGCCAGACAGTCTAAACTTCTAAGAATCTTTGCTTTCCCCCCTCTCCCAGAAGAAGCTCCGTCTACGGCCTCCTCTACCCCTGACTCCACGGAAGGTAAGCGGAGTGGGAGGACGTGAAAATGCGACTTGAAAGAGGCTCACAGCTGGGGAGGAGGGTGAGGAGGGTGGTCAGGGTCCTCCTCCCAGGAGCTCACGCCTGCTTTGCTCACTGCAGGCGGGAACGACGACTCGGATTTCCGGGAGCTGCACACAGCCCGGGAGTTCTCGGAGGACGACGAGGAAGAGACCACGTCGCAGGACTGGGGCACCCCCAGGGAGCTGACCTTCTCCTACATTGCCTTCGACGGCGGGGTGGGCTCCGGAGCGCGCCG